CTGTCCATCTAATCTGACTGAGCTGGAGCTGTTTTGCAAAGAAGAATGGGCAAAGATTTCAGTCTCTAGATGTGCAAAGCTGGTAGAGACATACCCTAAAAGACTGGCAGCTGTAATTGCAACAAAATGTGGTTATACAAAGTATTGAATCAGGGGGCTGAATAATTATGCACACCCACTTTTCAGTTATTTATTTATAAAAAATGTTTGGAATCATGTATGATTTTTGTTCCACTTCTCACATGTACACCACTTTGCGTTGGTCTTTCACGTGGAATTCCAATAAAATTGATTCAATCTTGTGGCTGTAATGTGACAAAATGTGAAAAAGTTCAAGGGGGCCGAATACTTTTGCAAGCCACTGTAGAACTATTTTTTTAACTTGTTGTTACTGTTTCTTCAAAAAGCTGTATAGTTGACAGTTATTGTATAGATTAATAATTTCTTTCTTGGACTGTCTACTACAGGTTTGTGACTAAGCTTCTTGGAGGTGCGACATATCTTTCATGTTCAGTGGTTTTACCTGCTTTCTGCCATCTGCATCACACCATGGTGGTCTCTGATGATGACTGAAACTACATGGTAAAATTTAGGACTGCCTTCATAAATGACCTGTCCCAACGTGCAGCTACGCTCAACCATCAGTGGATCAAGACAGCTACTGTGCTTGACTCACACTTTAAGGATTTAAAGTGTCTTGCAAGGGGAGAGTGAGAAGAGGTCTGGACCAGCCTTGAGGCCCTGCTGCAGGGACAGTGTAAAGATGCCACCATTAAGAACCCAGCAAAGACAAAGAGCCTCCTCCTCTCTTCATTGTCTTCAGACTCTGATTCAGTTGAGGAAGTCCCGTGTAACAGGGCCCTGAGTTTGTACAGAGCAGAATCCACCATCAACCCGCTGCAGTGGTGGTCCAGTCGAGCAGGGACCCACCCACAGTTGTATGTCCTAGCCGCAAATATTTGATTAGTCCTGCAACTTCTGCCCCTGTGAGAGACTGTTCTCACTTGCAGGTCACATAGTAACAAAAAAGAGAGCTGCCTTTAGCTCTGAAAATGTGAACAGGCTAGTTTGTCTAACTGGCTGAAAGAGACGGAAAGTAAATAAGCATGGATTTATTGTGATTCCAATGGGCTTGTTATTTTTTGCACTAAAATGTTCGATGATCACTGTTTTAGCCTAAAGTAAAAAATAATTTTGGCTAAGGTTACTCAGTTTTAAAGTGAAGCTGGTAAAATAACCTTTTATGTTTCCGCTTTATTTTTTTAAGAAGAAAAACTGCACTTTATGTTGAAATTACAGTGGAACCCC